CTCAGATCTCTGAGAAACCGAAGCCTGCATGTCGTCACTTCCGGTTTCAAAACTCGGAATCCGACTTGGAATTCGAGTTCTGAGGGCAAATGGAACGCACCAAAACTGCCCGAAATGGGTTGACATAGACATTTCAGGGATTTGGACTCATTCTGCGCTGCAGATGGGTTAATTGCGTTAAAAATTTTAATCAGATTAATCATGATGATGGATTAATCCACGTTAACCCGTTAATTTTGACAGCCCCAATTAAAATGTATTTTTTTATTACCCGACCCACCCAACCCGCGGATTATACGCAGCGCCCGCGGATATAACCGCCATCCGCGCATCTCTAGTGTGTTGGTCTTTTTCATTCAGGAAAGTAGAAGTTTAATAATGTGCCACAAAATGCTGTAATGTTTTTGAATGATGTACTTTTATCAGTTTAGGAAAGTTAACTTACTTCTAAACTGAATTAGTGCCATTAAGGACACAAACTGTGAGTCCAAGGTGAGACCATAACACCTTATGAAGTAAAAAAATGAACCTCGTAAGCAATGCTGGGTGAATTTTAACCCTGCTATACTCTACTGATCAGGTCCATGTCAACAGGGTATGCAGTGAGATTTTTCTGAGTAAACGCGATGTCATACAGAACAAGATGGCCGCCCTGAAGCTGAAACTGAGAGACACCTGCTGGCTCTTCTCATGCTGTTTCTGTCTCTATGTAAATAAGGGAGTGAGATGAGCTCCTTTCAGGTCAGGGAGAGATGGGACCTTTACTGGCAGGTTCCTTATGTTGCTGCTGTAAGGTTGTATTAGATTGATTACATGTACAGTATTCTGATGCCCTTCAAACTCTGTGTTACAGGATGCAGATGATCACTGCAGTAAGTACTTGTACTGTAGTTATTCTCAGGTCACTTTTTAAATCAATATAACTTGTAATCATACAGCACATCCTGGATCATTTGAAGTGCCTTTTTAAGCAACTTTACGACATCATTCTGACAACTGACAGCGGTTGGCTGTTTTTGATACTGGCAGCATCTCTGATTGGCTGGGAGCACAGGCCCCGCCCTCTCCATCCCCCTCTTAAATCTGGGCCCTGCTGCTGTCTCTCTCCTCATACTGTGACCTGCTCATTTCTCAGCTGGACAGTGAGGGTTGTGCACTCCACACGCTGACAACATGCTTCTGAAAATCTGCACTCTCATCACTGCTCTCTCATGTAAGAAATCAGAACCAAAACACTTTTTGTAGCGCTGTAAGTCTGTTATATGATTTTCTTTTAATAACGATTTTATTTGTCAGGTGTGAGTGGTGTGACAGTGGTTACCCAGAAGCCTCCTGCTCTGACAGTGAATCAAGGAGGGACAGTGACTATGGACTGTAACCTTGGGACAGTCACTAGCAGTGCTGCTCGCTGGTACAAGCAGGTCCCAGGTGGAGTTCCCCAGCATGTGTTGAGGTTTTACCATGGATCGAGCTCCCCCACCTATGGGACAGGCTTCTCATCCAGCCGCTTCACATCAAACCACCAGAGTACATCAGATTATCGGTTGATCATCAACACAGTGGAGGTGGGAGACTCAGCAGTTTATTACTGTCACACATGGGACGACTCTGCTAAGGAAGAGGTATCACAGTGATTTGCACCATGACAAAAACCTGCCTGCTTAAGATTTTCACTTCTGCTTATATAGCTGCTAAAAATACACACAATGTCTTTAAAAAAATCAAAGGGCACCTGACTGGACTTTCTTAGGCCTGTAGTTAAGAATATTCACCACATCTCTGTATTTTTTCAGAATAACATTGAAAAAAATAAAAACATCCAATGCTCCCCCCTAGTAATGAAGTGCTGTGCTCTACCCTCTCTCTCATTGCTTGTTGGTTCTCCCAAATAGATCCACTGACGATGCCATCTTCTATGTCCTACAGAGACCCATTTGGACAGTGGCAAGGGGAATTCTTTTTCTTCACATATTTTTATTGAACTGTTTGCAAAGCAGGGGAGACACTAAATACAGGCAACAGAAAATAAATAAACAAATAAATAAAATGGAGTAAAATAAAATAAATGTGGGAGACCTGAGAGCCCATGGGAGACAGCATAATACATATTGCAGGTTGATATCATATCAAGCTGTGGCTCCACATCCTTTTTCCAGGCAGCTCCATAAGCCCCAAGCTCATCCTTTGAGATGCAGGGGCACACAGGTAATCAAGAAATGGGTTCCAGCTCCGGTAGAATGAAAAGGATTTATCCTTCAATGCTGTACAAAAGGCTTCACATGGAATGTTACTTGTCATAACTTGCAGACACTGATTAAAAGTAGGAGCTTTATCTGTGATCCACAAGACAAAGATACTCTTCTGAACACAGTACACTAGAATATGCAAAAAGTCTGTGTGGTGAAAATCGACCAATAATTCATCATTTAGCCTCAGCAGGCATGTCCTTGCACCAAGATAGCACCTAAAAATTACATTAAACTGCTTAACGATTGTAACCCAAAACAGCTGGACATGAACATGGACAACTCCACAAAGCATTAAAAAATGAACCAACAGCAGACTGACATTTAGTACAAAGCTCTGACAGAGTTGAATTAATTCTGTTTCTGGCTTCAGGAGTGACGTAAAGCCCGTGTAAAATCTTGAATTGATCTTCAATTGACCTTGAATTGCCCCTCCCAGGCAGAGCTAGATACAAGGACACTGGAAGGCTGGATACACAGGACATTCCAAGCCTCAGGCTTTATATTGCCCAGGTAAGATTCCCATCTGCCTTTCTTTTTGTCAGAATTATCAGCATTGAGACCACAGAGGAAGGTGTAAAGCCTCTTGGTGTAAAATGTAAGTTGCATTTTATTTACCAATAGAGATTCTACAGGAGATGGAGTGAGACCTCTAGAGAAATCCTTCAAATTAGAAAGAACAAAATTCTGAATTTGCAGTAATTTAAAGAAATCATCATGACTGACACCACACTTGCTTTTCACTTGCTGGACTGTGAGGATGAAGCCTCCCTGGTTCATGTCTCCACCAACACTGATACCCTTGTGGCTCCAATCAGCAAGTCCGGCCCAAAGGCCAGGTTGGATGTCAGGCTGTTCATGAATAGGAGTTAACAAAGAAAATCAATTACTACTGTACAGTATATCCTTCCAATTTCCTGACTTTACGGCAGATATTCAATATTTTTTAAGATCACATTTAAGATCACATTGTCTTTCCTGGAGAGATATATAATAAATTCTGGAAAGAGATCCCTACCCAAAGAAACCAGGTAGAATTAAATAATTTGAACTGTGCAGCCCACAGGTAAAATGAAAAAGATGGTGCAGCTAAGCCCCCATTTTTTACGGGCAGATAGAGAAAGCTGGGTAACACTTTACTATAGATACCTTCATAACGCAGTACAAAGCATCCTTAATGCTTATACCAACCATTATAATGCATTATAAAGGCATCTATAGCGCATTATAGATGCAAGCTTCATAAAGCATTCACAATGCATAATACACATGGCTACAATGTGTTATGCCTTTTAATAAATATTTATAATACTTCATTATTTCTTATAAATATGTTTATAAAATACTCTGCACTCCACACGCTGAGAACATGCTTCTGAAAATCTGCAATCTCATCACTGCTCTCTCATGTAAGAAATCACACTCTAAAAACATGACCTTCAGTAAAGTGTTACCGAAAGCTGTATCTTGACCTAGGTCTTTTTTACATCAAATAAATGATATAATAGAACTATTTAATTGTTCAAAACTTTCCTTTAACAGTGAAACTGATAACATCTGCTGGTAACATCTGAAAGAAATACCAGAGACAAGGTAGGATATTCAATTTGGTTAGATGCATATGACAGAAGGGATAAGGGTAGGTCACACCACCTATCAAGATCATACTCATAGTGTCAGGGTCAGCCCCTGTTGTGGTCCTTCTGTGTCCCTTCCCGTTTGGCCAGCAGGCGTTTGCTGGTCATCCCGTTCTTTATGTTAATCTTTGTTCACCTCTGTTACCTGTCTGGTCATGTGGCTCAATGTGTTGAACATGTGGTTGTCTGTGTACCCTTCTGTCCTGTGTTTGAATCCCACTGCCTCTGTTTTTGTATTTTGCTCCCTAGTGTTTCATTTGAGTTTCTCTAGTTCTTGTGTTTGATTTTGTAGTTGGTTTTTGTTTTGTTCCTTGTGGCCCTGCTTGTCTTTACCTGTCTGTAATTCCCCAGTGTTGGTTCCTTATTACTTGGTTAGTTTCCCTGTTTTTAGTTCCTTTGAGTTTAGTAGTTACACCTGTGCCCCGTTTCCCTGGTCTTTGTTAATTAGCCTCACCTGTCCTGTGTTAGTCTCGTTACCCCTTTAGTATTTAAGTCCCTGTATCTGTTCTATTCGCTAGTGGTTCGTTGATTGTGTTTGATAGTTGTTATGTCAGGTATTCTCAGTATTATATGTGTATTTAGGTTTTGTTATTTAGTCTTTATTAATCCCCTTTTAGTTTTTGACCCCACGTGGTCTTTATGATTTTGTAGTGTTTTCTTTTTTGTTTAATAAACCCCGTTTTTGTGTTCTAAAAGCTTTCGATGTTTAAATCTCCTGCGACAAATGCGCCCGCTGTGCAGCTGGCAGACAAATCCGTACAAACGACGTGTCTTGACTGCTCGTGTTGAAGCAGTGCAGATCTCACTCGGTGTGATTATTGTTTTCATCGACTCCGTTAGTCTTGCCTTTAGACAAGCACTTCGTGACGGATCAGGACAGTGGTTCCGTCTTTTACATGTTCATTTGGTTTTTCTCATTAACCTGGATGGGTTTGGGTTGATACAGGACCGACTAGTGTTCCAGATACACTGGGAAGAAGGGTCAGGCAGAACTGACAACAGCTAAATTTCTCATGTAGTCTCATTAATGAACCTAGATTGGCCAATGAGGAACATTTTCCACTTGTCCAAGGATTAGTGGCCTGGCTTTGGCGTGACAGATCTATCCTCAGATCCCAGCAACAACTTGCAAATATGACAGAAGCCACTAGACTTAGCCCCTCAACTACAGATTTTATATGTAGAAACAGAGGTGATTTGAAGATTAATATGCAGCTTGGTTCANGCCAACATTTCTAAAGAATGCTTTCAGCACCTTGTTGAATCAATGCCACGTAGAATTAAGGCAGTTCTGAAGGCAAAAGGGGGTCAAACACCGTGTTAGTATGGTGTTTCTAATAATCCTTTAGGTGAGTGTATTCAGAACTCAGCAGCTTGAGTTCTCACTCACACTAAATGCTCTGCTCACATCACACCCATCCTCTCTTAGCTACAATGGCTACTGTTTCAGTCTCAGATCAAATTCAAAATATTGCTTCTCACTAATAAAGCTCTGCATGACCTCACTCCTTACTACCTCAGTGAGCTATTGACTCCCTACTCACCCTCTCGCTCTCTCAGATCTCCTCGCTGTTCCACCCACTAGGCTTTCCACCATGGATGGCAGGTCCTTCACTGCCATGGCCCCCAATCTATGGAACTCTCTTCCACAATCTCTCCATGACTGCTCTTCTTTATCTTCCTTCAAATCTGAACTAAAGACTTTTCTCTTCCAGTGATGGCTTCCAAGAATCAAAGATGAAAGAATCAGCATTTAATTCAGCCTCATTTAATTCACATTATCATCATCATCCTCATTAGAAAGAAGAATACTGTCAATTTCATAAGAAAATCACATAAAAAGCATGTAATGCTGTTTGAAATCCTAAATAGTTTGACAGAGGGAAGCATGTCATATTGGTCCGCAATTTGTGGTTCTCCTTCTGAAAGACGGGTGGAATTATGACAGGAAAACACCTGACATTTAGGGAAGATTAAAATAAAGCTATTTTTGAAGATATTTCTAAAAATAACCTATTGTTCATTTGGTTTTTCTCATTAGTGGAACCTGAGCTGGGGTTGGGTTGTATAAATGGTAAATGGTAAATGGACTGCATTTATATAGCGCTTTTCTACTCCTACGAGTACTCAAAGCGCTTTACAATACATGCCTCACGTTCACCCATCCACACTCACATTCACACACCAGTGGCGAATATAGGACAGACTAGTGTTCCAGATACACTGGGAAGAAGGGTCAAGCAAAACTGACAACAGCTAAATTTCTCATGTAGTCTGATTAATGAACCTGGATTGGCCAATGAGGAACATTTTCCACTTGTCCAAGGATTAGTGGCCTGGCTTTGGCGTGACAGATCTTTCCTCAGATCCCAGCAACAACATGCAAATATGACAGAAGCCACTAGACTTAGCCCCTCAACTACAGATTTTATGTGTAGAAACAGAGGTGATTTGAAGATTAATATGCAGCTTGGTTCATTTGACAAATATCGATGAGCAAATGATATGTTTCAGGATCGAGGTAAGATCCGACCGCCCAAATGGACCTGCCCAGGTTAAGCAGCTAAAGGAGGGATGGATGGATGGATGGATGGATGATATTTTTCACTTTGCCTTGCAGTCAGCAGATGGGGGTATAACGGCATATAGTGTCTCTGATTGGTTGAGAACAGAAGCTCCTCCCCCTGATGTAACCAACATCCCCATATATCTGTGGGCTGCAACCTCCCCTCACACTCCAGTCTGCTCACGGGTAACAGACTGACATCATGCTGTTCACTCTGTGCACCTTCATCACAGCTCTGGCATGTAAGAAATGCGCCTCCTCTCTGTTTATTTATCTCGATTAGCATGTTATTTGTACATTGGTTTGTATTTCTTTCCTTGTGTCTTTTGCCTTCACAGGTATCAGCGGCCAAAGGATGGTCACACAAAAACCCTCCTTACTGACT